AATTAAGCTTAATTTTAAAGAGAAGGAAAAAAAAATAAACGAAAAATGTAATTGAAAAAAAAATTAAATAAATAAAAAGGCAGCCGAAATCAAATATTTAACACACAATGACACAAATGATGGGTGGGTAATTATGTAATGTTCCCCGGATATTTGAGGTACCGGCGGAAGTAAGACCGAAATTGTGTTGGTGGTATACCTTCTATCCAGTTCAACCTCAACTTCGTTGGTCTCACCTGCTTAGAAGAAAAGGAGCAGGTGTGGGTGCTCTAGCCCTCAACACTCCACATCCTTACCACCTTTCGCTGTCTGCAGCTAGAACTGCGAAGATGGTTGCTCACACAAATAAATAGAATAGAAAATAGTAATAAAGATAATAATTGGAATATTATACATAAATGGGGGAGACTGTAAAACCATTTTTGAAGCTAGCATTCCAGCCCCCCAATATGATGTTTGGACATAAATACCAACATGTTAAGGTATTGCCCAACCTTGTATTATTTTTCCCGAAAGGGAGCCCAAGGCCGCCTGGAAGGGGGTCACCTGTTTTAACCACTCGCACCACTATACAGTAGTGTGTTGTCTGTCAGTTAGCCAGCAGACACTAAAATGACGTCACATGAGAGGCGCTTAATGTTGCAATTTGTACTGTCGTGACGTCAGTAGAAGATGCGCATGCCATGAATCACGAGAAGAATTATGCACTCAGTAGGCTGCAACACAGCATGACATATGAACTTCAAAAGCAAGAAATAAAAATACATTTGTTACTCTTAAATTTGGTATTATTTACTCTTGAAACGGAACACTTTCGGAGACCCCGGAAATACATCTAGTCAGCATAACCCCCCATCCTCCACCTTTCCATGCTACTATCTGTATCTTCAATAGTTCTAAAGAGATCCACCCAGTAGCAGGTCTTATATCAGGAAAGGTGATACAACTACATTAGTCCACCTATATAAAATTGTTCAAATAAGTAATTCTAATTATTTCTCTTCAAATAAATTTTTGAAATTATTTTTATTGTATGTATCATAATTTTATTGTATTTATATTGTATGTATTATAATTTTATTGTATTTATATTGTATGTATTATAATTTTATTGTATTTATATTGCATGTATTATAATTTTATTGTATTTATATTGTATGTATTATAATTTTATTGTAGTTATATCATTGTTTTAAAATTTAAGCAAATATTTTTTATATTTATCATAAAATTATTAAGAATATTTAATTAGTTTTTTTTCTTCATCGAAGTCATTAACAATCAGTTTATGTACTAATATATTAATATTAGATATTAAGAACTGTACATTGCTACAAATATTACAACACCTAAGAAGCTGTGAAGGTATAATACTCTGTATGACATTTGTTTGGAGAGGGAAATCCAAAAATTAAAAATATTAAATAATTTATTTTATTATAAATATTAATATTGCAATAATCACTAATTATCTTAATGTTTAAGTCTAAATAACGTACTTCAGTATTCGATACAGAAGTGTTCTCAGTCTGTAGGACAGTAGAATTTGCCAATATAATTATTTATTACTGTATCATCAACGTTAATTAAATCGTCAACATATCTATATCTTAAGGAAAATAATTCCGGATTTATAAATTTATTTTCGTAATAATAAAGATGCAAAGTAGCAACACAATTTGAATAACAAGCCCCCCCCCCCCCACTATTTGTTTATAAATGTGCCCATAACAATAAATATAATTATTATATGATATAAACAAAAACAAAACTGAATATGCTTTTAATATAATTAGCAGTAAAATTACGATTTTCTACTGTTATATGTAGGTCAGTAAATTGATTTATTAACGAATTTATCACCGTTGACAGATCAATTATATACATGTATAAACCATAGCAACACACGCACATGTATTCTATGCACAAAAATACACAGCATTGCACTCACAAAATGAACAAGTCCGAGCCGCATAGAGCTATTGCGGCCCGGCATGGCCAGGTGGTTAGGGTGCTCGACTCGCAATCTGAGGGTCGCGGGTTCGAATCTGCGTCACAACAAACATGCTCGCCATTTCAGCCGTGGGGGCGCTAGAATATGACGGTCAATCCCACTATTCTTGGTAAAAGAGTAGCCCAAGAGTTGGCGGTGGGTGGTGATGA